ACACATGTGGCATGCAGTGGCTTCTCAAAACCATACTGATTTTAAAATTTCGGCAATTTCTGTGTAGTACCTGTGACGGTTACGCTTTGTGCAATCACTTCATCAGCTCATGGTCAGATTACGGTTATTTTTGTGTCACATCCTTGCCCCCTGCTGAGGGGGTGGGACAGAGATCAGTTTAGTTGGCAATGAAAAGTCCTGATAGATTTATTTCAGATCACAGATGAAATTATGCTATTGTGTATTTTTTTTCCTAAAAAACTAAGCTCATGGCCACTGGTCCCATCACCTCCTCACCAACAGAAGGGGAAGATATGGAGGCAGTGACAGATTTTACTTTCTTGGGCTCCATGATCACTGCAGATGGGGACAGCAGCCACGAAATTAAAAGACGCCTGCTTCTTGGGAGGAAAGCGATGACAAACCTCAACAGCATCTTAAAAATCAGAGACATCACCTTGCTGATAAAGGTCCGAATAGTCAAAGCTATGGTTTTTCCTGTTGTGATGTATGGAAGTGAGAGCTGGACCATAAAGAAAGCTGGCCACCGAAGAATTAATGCCTTTGAATTGTGGTGCTGGAGGAGGCTCTTGAGAGTCCTCTGGACTGCAAGGAGAACAAACTTCTGTTCTGAAGGAAATCAACCCCGAGTGCTCCCTGGAAGGACAGATCCTGAAGCTGAGGCTCCAATCCTTTGGCCATCTGATGAGAAGAGAAGACTCCCTGGAAACGCCCCTGATGTTGGGAAAGTGTGAAGGCAAGAGGAGAAGGAGACGACAGAGGACGAGATGGCTGGACAGGGTCATCGAAGCGAACAACATGAATTTGGTACCGAAGTCTGGGAGGCAGTGGAAGACAGGAGGATCTGGCATGCTCTGGTCCATGGGGTCACGAATAGTCGGACACGACTTAATTACTAAACAACACATTTTTTTTTTAAATTAGAAAAACACATTTCTTTTGGGGCACCAAAATTAAGAGCGTCAAGCAGCAGGGGCCCCTTGAATGTGATAAGCTATGTGACTAGAACCACCAGGAGATTGGAAATAACAGAAGAAATTGGTTTACTCGTGTCCAGAGGGTGAGATTTCCCCCCCTCCTGTGTGGGAACTACAGCTTTCAGCCCTTCCATGGGCTCACATTTTGTCTCAGGGTTTGGCCGCACAAACTGGGCCCAACTGGGAAGCCATGATCACATCATGTCTTGACAATACCACCCGACCCGACGGACGTTTGTGTCCCTTTGAAGGTTTAGGAGCTTCATCTAGACAATCACTGGGATGACCATGGATGGGTGTGCATGCTCACAAAAGCCATATGTGACGGGGGGAGAAATCAATTTTATTTTGAACCTAAAGACCGTGCAGTTCACCCAGTTAGAGATAAGGCTCTATTCTGGTCCTCTTTCCTTATCACATCTTGTCACGTTCTTCATACTTCCAAGAGAGCCCTCGGCTCACATGTATGGTCTACATGGCGAGTAAGAACCCAGAGAGCCAGGGTGGTGTCTTCGGCGGAGTGACAGAATAGGACTCAAGAGGTCTGGGTTCAAATCCCTCTTCAGCCACGGAAATTCACCAAGGATAGTCAAAGCCTGCCGCTTATAGTAAAACCATGGCTTGAACATTTCACATACAGTATTTCAACCCCCCCCCACACACACACACCGCGAGGGTTTCCATAGGTTGGAAGCAACTGGATGGCACATGGCAACAGCATGGCTTACACACAACGCACCTGTCCTTTTAAAACTCAGCACTAAAAGCCTAAAGAACGGGATGAAGGAAAAGCTGGGGCTTGCATTCACCTCCATGGGTGTTCACAATGCACTGAGCAAGGGGTTGGACTGGATGGCCTTTAGAGGCCCCCTTCCCACTCTATGATTCTGTGATTCCGTGATTCTGTAACCAGGTGCGCCATCCACATGTTTTGTCACCCACCCCATCCCACAGTCAAGATGCACTCCAGCATCCTTGTCAATTAGCCACACGTAGTCATGACGAGTTACGCAAATTGTATACCCAGCTTGCTGGGGGGGCAATGTGTAGCCTGTATAATTAAAAATTGTAAACCGCCCGGAGAGTGCTTGTAGCACTATGGGGCGATATATAAGTCCAATAAATAAATAAATATAAATAAACACCTACAGGATTCTGGCCACTGATTCTCAGCAAGCAGAACCTTGATGCTAAGATATAATTTCCCTGCCACCCGTGTTAGCAAGAGGAGAGAAAACGGTCACATCAATCCTCCTGTACTTAAGCATCGCCCTGATTTCTTCTCTGACTAGTACGCAGACGGTGTCTAGAGAACCTTTGGAGATACTAAAAGGCCTTAATAAATCAAGCAGAGAGTCACTCGTTCCAAGTGGCATGCGGTGGAGCCCAGGGACATTATTGGAGAGAGGAAAACTTGTACCAGCCGCCAAATTGCAGAAACCGTAAATCTGCCAGCCAGCTTTTCATTGTCACCGAAGAACAGGTATTTAAAAGAGTGCATTAGGGTCACAGGAAGAGCCAAGGAAAATATCCAAATAGTTTTGCATTTACAGAGCAACACATGGATTGATGTATCTTTTTTTTTCTTGCACACAGATTTTTTCTTTCAAACAGATACAGAACATTCAGGCGGTGTGGGGGGCGGAGCTGAAACAGAGGAAATGTACAAGATTTTAAAAACGGATTAGCAGATTTGCAACTCAGGCAGGGCTGTGGGTTCGTTGATCAAGGAGGGCAACATTTTGAGGGCATCGAAAGCTGTTACTGGAAGAGTCCAAATCTGCTCGGGAGGGGTTGGCACTGGAAGGGTGCAAACCCACCTGCCAAATCGTTCATGATACCCAGAGGATGCTGAGATTGTGAGCATCCTGTCGCCAGCTGCAGGAATCTGATGCATCAAGGAATTCCTGCATCACGTCCATCTTGATGCAGGGATCAAGATGGCCGGTCAGTTCCATCAGACAATAAGAGTTGACTGGAAAGCTCAGAGATTTTTGTATTTGATGACAAAGGCAGAAGTTGGGTGTTCGATTCCCCTCGGGGTCTCCAGAGAGAAAAAGTCAGCCTCTGTGACCTTCGGCAAGCTGCACAGTCCCAAGGCAACCCCAGAAGAAGGGAATTCTTACCTAGAATTTCTACCTAGAAAAAGCCTTACAAGTGTTGCCATAAGTCAGAATAGCCCACAACAACATATATCTTTAAAATTCTCGTAAAATGCCATTTAAGGGCAATTTCTGCCAGTATCTGAATGTGACTCATAGTACATTTAAATAAATTGTTACTTTTTGCCCCTGAAAAGTAACTTTGCAACTACTAGTTACTACCACGTAGCTCTGATTTTGCTGGTATATACAGTTGCCTGTCACGAAACTGCTGATATGCCTCAGAGGTCTCTGCTTATAGGCACCCACAGTGAAGCGAAGGAAATTCGATGACTCTGGAGTACCCATGAAGAGCGGGAAATCAGCAAACTGGTTAAAAATGGGAGAGAAATAAATAGAAGCTTTTATAGGATGGGGAAGTTGCAAGGAAAGAGGTGTAAGGGGTGTGTTGAGAAGGAGTTGTGGAAGAAAATCCTGCAATTTTAAATTTTTTTTAGTGTAGGTTGTTTATTTACTACAACAGCTGTAGGGCAACAAACGAGCAATTGCGTTGTAGAGTGTAAGACCTTTTTAACAGGCCTTTTTTTCAACTTCTATGCACAGTGAGCTGGTCTGCAGAAGAAGAAGAAAAAAGGAAGAAGGAAGAACTGCTGGATAGCGGAGGCGTTTTGGCATCGAAAAATATGATTATTAAACAAAACCCAGAACTGTGCCGCTTGGGAAAACATGACTTTAATAGACGCCAAGGATTGTTTTTAGAAGAAAGGTGGGATCAAGATATCTGAAATAAATAAATGATAGTTAGTAAAATAAAGAAGAGCAGGGTAATACATTTCACACCCAATTTAAGAACGCTTTGATTTTTTCCCCCCATCTTGATATTTGAAATATCAAATAAAATTATTTTGAAGGGGCAGGAATGAGATTTTTTTTGACATATCGAAAAGGAGCATGAGAAATTTGAAAAAAAATGCATTTAAAAAAAGGAACAGGAGACGGTTGGTTGGAAAAAAAACATGCACGTGTGTTGCAATGGTTAGAGCACTGGACTGGGAACTCGAGAGACGCCACTCTGTCCAGAGGGAGCCATGAAACTCAGTTGGGTATCATGTAAGAGCGGGATTCTCTGGAAAAGACAACGCCAGGGAAGGTGGAAGACAGCAGGATGAGAGGAAGGACTGGCTAGCAGATGGACTGATTTGTTAAAGGAAGCCACAGGTTTGTGTTTACAATTGCTGACACGTGGGAGACCACTTGTGCATAGCGCCACTCTGTCCAGAGGGAGCCATGAAACCCAGTTGGGTATCATGTGAGAGCGGGATTCTCTGGAAAAGACAATGCCAGGGAAGGTGGAAGACAGAAGGAAGAGAGGAAGGACCGGCTAGGAGATGGACTGACTTGCTAAAGGAAGCCACAGGCTTGTGTTTACAATTGCTGACATTTGGGAGACCACTTGTGTATAAGGTCGTCATGAGTTGGAGGCCACTCAGAACCACCACAAAGCCTTAGTCCAGCGGTCCCCAGAGGTTCTTGGACTACAACTCCCAGAAATCCTGGCCAGCTGGGAGTTGTAGTCCAAGAACCTCCCAGGACCTGAGGCTGGTTTAGCTTTCGCCTCTTGTATTTCAGCCTGTCCTACCTCGCAGGGCTGTTCGGAGGACCAAAAAAAAAGGGTGGAGGGGAGGCCACAACAAAAAAAGCCGGGTGCGCCCCCTTGCCCTTCGCCGGGGAAATGCAGGATGCCATAAGCCAGGCCAATGAAAACCCCAAGCTTGGCTCACCCGCAAGACGCGAATCTCAGCGAAGGCCGGCCGGAGGCGGAAGGGTTAAACACCTGCCGCTCCTCCAGAGAGCCCCGCCTTTTGCTAATCAAGGGGGCGGGGCTGGAGAGGGGGCGGGGCCTCGGACAACGCGGCGCTGGCCGGAGGCGCTCACTGGGCGGCGGGACGCGGACGGGAGCGCAACGAGCCAGCGCGGGTGCGGAGCGAGAGCCTTGGCGGGAGGCTCCCAGCATGTTCCAGTGGTAAAGGCTTTTCTGGGCTATTTTTTTGGAGGGGGGAAAAGGAAACTGGTTGGTTTTGCAGATCTGCGATCCTATTGTCGTGCGCGTTTTTTTTACGCGCGATCCTGAGCTTGAAAGTTGAACCTGACCTGTGATTTTTTTTTTTAAAATAAAGGTTCCTGCCTTTTTGCCAACTATTTCACGCCCCCCCTCCCGCCTTGGAGACCCTTCCTTCCTCTTCTTCTTTCCCCCCCTCCCTTCTTCTTTCTTTTTCTAGCTTTGCTAAAACTTCATCACCGGGGAATTGAATTGAAATTCATGGAATTTTTAAATTCGGTTTGCACCTGGAGCTTGCCTGGAGGGGGTGGTGGTGGATGGGAT